CCGGCGGGGGGCTGGAGAGCCCCGGGTGGGACCCGGCTGTGGAGCCGTGCTGTTTGCCTGGCACTTGGCTGTGAAGCCCGGGGAGACGGCGAGATCCGTGTGGAACCGGGAAGGGATTGTGAGGTGCCCTTGCCAATCCCTGGGGCGTGACGCTTCAGTAATAGAAATTTCCAGATTCCATGATTCAGCCCTGGGCAGCAGGACTTGTTCCTCCTCGCTGACAAGCCCTGGTGCTCTTTTCCTACGTTCCTGCCTTGACAAATTCTGTACCCCTGCCCTCCTCTCCAGGGAGAAAGATCTGGACGAGGTCCTGCAGACGCACACGGTGTTTGTCAATGTTTCCAAGGGCCAGGTGGCGAAGAAGGAAGATCTCGTTCAGGCGTTCGGGACGGACGACCAGACAGAAATCTGTAAGATGGTAGGTTTTGAGCACTCTGCTGTGGAAGAGCTTGCAGAGGCCTTTCCAGATGTTTTACACATGGGTCACACAGACGTGGTCAGTTGGGTTGTTATTGCAAGGTTTTTGCTGAGTGTGGCGCTGCTGTAGGCGAAAGGGCTGGTGATTTGTTAGGAAAATTGTTAAGACCCAAGTGATATCTGTTTGTTAATGTCTTAAAATTTGCGTGTGGGTCTGGCTGAAGAGCTGTGAGCATTCTGTGTAACGCACAGCCTTTGGGCAGAGAGGTCTGTGGGCCTGGAAGGAAGGGTTTACCGGTCCTGAAGAGTTTCTCAGCTCAGATACATTAAGGATGCTGAGAAAGGAGTGGGATAATTGCTTACCTTGGAAAGCCCAATGTTAACAACAGACGTGATGTGTTCGTGCTCCGTGACAGGATACACACTGTGGGCTTGCAGGTGATGAGAATTCACGGAAAGCTGTGCTCCTCTTGCTGCGGCTTAGTGTTTCTGCGGTGGGTTTTTTCTGACGCCTTCTGTCACCATGGCGTACGTTGTCAGTAGGGTTATTCTTTTCCTGCACTTCACATCTGACCAGACCATTCAAGCGCTTGTTAGATTGAACCTCATTAGTGGAGTTTTCAGTCTAGTCAAATCTGTGGTATTAACAAATCTGTGTATTAACCGATTTTTTGGTTTTTACTGCGAAGATCTTATCAAAGGGGGAGCTGCAGGTATCGGACAAAGAGCGACACACACAGCTGGAGCAGATGTTTAGAGACATTGCGACTATTGTGGCTGACAAATGTGTGAATCCTGAAACCAAGAGGCCGTACACCGTAATCCTTATAGAAAGAGCCATGAAGGATATTCACTACTCGGTCAAGCCACACAAGAGCACGAAGCAGCAGGTCAGTTTTCTTGCAAAATCAGGTTCTGCTGGAGGTGGTGTCTTGGGGTGTCATTTCCCTGGGAGTAGTCACAGCGGGATCAACAAAGCCCTGTGGGCCAAAGGCCACAGGAGGATTCAGCCAGCTGGCAGGTGAGCGCTGGATAAAGGCAGCTTTTGAGATTTGTGTGGTTGGTTTTCTGTCCAGTCAGGGAAGGGGGAAAGAAACTAATTAAAGTAGGAACTGTAATGTGCCTGGGAGCGAAATAAGTGTTAGGATTTATTCAAGGCGCTGTGTGACTGCTTTCTTCTTAATGGCTTGACAGGCGCTGGAGGTGATCAGGCAGTTAAAGGAGACGATGCAAATTGAACGTGCTCACATGAGGCTGCGGTTTATTCTGCCGGCGAAGGAGGGGAAGAAGCTGAAAGAGAAGCTCAAGCCACTGATCAAAGTTATGGAGAATGAAGAGTTCCATGAACAGTTGGAAATGGTAAGTGATAAGCGGTCCCTGGGTTTCACACTTGGCTTGACTGCACCTGTAGGGTTTACTAGAAGATGAATTAATATGTGGAAGTGGTTTGGATAAGCTGCAAGTTCACCAGAGTTTCTAAATCAGAGGTGTAGTTTGTAATTTCCCAGAATCCTAGGGATGAAAGCTTGGAAGTAGCCTTTATCACGTGGAGATGGCTGCGTCAGGCTGGGGAGCAGCACAGTGTGGTTTCTCTTAGCTGTGCCTCTCCTACAGCCCTGGTGAGCCTACGTGCACTTATAGAAGGTTCCTCTTACTTATTTGGTGGTTCTGGCCTGTATATTGACAGTGGTTAATGAGGTGTTTTTTAAAAAACAGTCTGTGGTAAGGCAAAATTTGGGATTGGTAAAAATCTTTCTGAGAACTGATTAGAATCCAGCGATCCCGGCTGTCAGAGGCCATGTCCAACGTGGGAAATGGGAGTGCAGAGCTGCTGTGGGAAGATTACTTGGCAGCAATTGCTTATCCAGGCTGCAGCGTCCTCAGTAACTCAACGACCGTTGTGTTTCATGGAAATTAATGCTGGGCCGTAGATGTTTAGGTTGGAAAAGACCTTTGAGGTCAGAGTGCAGCTGTAACCCAGCAGGGCCATCTTGCAAGGGGGCTGGGAACAATGGGCTGTGATTGCTTGACTGATGGAATCTTTCATGTTTCAGGTGTGCCTTATTGACCCAGGCTGCTTCAGAGAGATTGATGAGCTGATCCGGAGTGAGACAAAAGGGAAGGGAACTCTGGAAGTGCTCAGTCTGAAAGACGTGGAGGAAGGAGATGAAAAGCTCGAATAAGGAAACCTTCTTGGAGCAGTTCTGCTTCAGCAACATCCTGCAGACAACTGGTGTCAGCCACGCTCTTCTGTTAGGCCTTCATGTTTTTTTCCAGTCCCTTGCTGCCAAATATTTTCTGACACTAATCCTTTGGGATTTTTCCACGCAGTGTGGTTTTTGATCACTTTACACTCACTTGGTTTACAGACGGGTTTGCCTGTAGGAACATTGTGTGGCAGAGTTGCACTAATGAGGACTGAGCTGAGCGCCAGCCGGTGCTCCCGCTCAGGGATGCTGCTCTCCAGGGCTCCGGCTGCAGGGAGTGCCCCCGCCTGTCCCTCGTATCCCAGGGCAGCAGAGAAGGCCCCTGCGTGAGGGGTGACCGGGGGATGATCTGCTCGGCTGGGGGCAGAGCTGAAGGAGGAAGTGGAAAGGCTGCGGAGTATGATGGAGTGTGAGAAGGAGAGAGGTTTTGGCTCCACCAATCTCCCACCCCCTGAGGCAAAGGCAGATGGAGGTCCCGCAGCCAGCGGTGGATCCCATATCCGCTTGGCACCGGGCAGACCGAAGGGACTTAGGGAGGGGAATGGAAACAGGTCCCTGCTTGGGCTGGCAGGAGCATCCCCTCCCTGTTGCTCCCGCAGAACAGATGCGGGGTTCTGGAACTCGGGGGCCAGGCAATTGCAGAGGAAGGGCCATCCAGGGGGTTGCCCAGGACGACCCTGTCAGCCCCGCGTGTCACGACTGCCTCCCTGCAGAAAAGTCGGGTCATCCTCATAGGCGACGCCCTTCGGAGTGGAACAGGGGCCTGATACGCTGCCCAGACCCATCGCACGGGGAAGTCTGCTGCCTCCCTGGGGCCCAGGTGAGAGACATCACTGGGCAACTCCCTGGTCTGGTGCTGCCCGGGGATTAGTTCCTGTGGCTGGTCATGCGGGTGGGCAGTGACGAGGTTCAGGGGGAAATCCAGAGGGAATTCGGGGCACTGGGGTTCGCAGGATTGGGCGCTCAGGTAGTGTTCTCCATCCCAGCACGCCTGATCGGGACAGGGCTCAGGCTGGTGCCAACAGTGGAATTTTGGTTTCTTTGGTCATGGGGAGGTTTACACAGCACTGGGCCTGTTGGTAATGGATGGACTTTGGATTTCTCAAAAGGGGAGAAGGATTCTCACCCATGAGTTGGCCAGGCTCATTGAGAGGGCTTTAAGTAAGGTTTGAAGGGAGGAACACCAGCAGGTGCCCGGAACCTGGAGAAGAATGACAGGTCACCGGGAGAGCTTGTTGAGCCAGCCCCTCGTAAATGCCTCTGTGGGAACGCACGGAGCGTGGGGAGGAAACGAGGAGCTGGAGGGGGCTGTGACCTCGGCGTGGTGGGATGGCTCCTGCGCCTGGAGTGTCTGAAGGGAAGGACACAGGCTCTGTAGGGGGGGGACAGGCAGGGGGGATG